TATATATATATATATGTCAATCTATCTAAAATATGCTGTCCTACAGGCAAGAAGGCAAAAATAATGGCAGTAAGCCACAATCTAAAAATCCTCATTTCCTGAATTAATCACGATCGATGCTGTGCATTAATTAATATTTTGCTCTTATGCAGGCTCCAGTATTTCTCTGAAACTCCTGGCTAGGCTAAGTAGAGGACTGATTTAAAGTTTTACTGGGTATATTTTTTCTTACAATGTGATAATGCAATATTTCAGTTTTAAAAACACTTCATGGATAACAGGCCTCCAACTGTTACTGCGTGGGAGACACCAAAACACTGCTGAACACATCATTACCCCTCAAAACACACATGTACATTAGTGTCATCATGCATATGTATCTATGCGTGGACTGTGATAAGTATTTCCTCCTATGATTTCTGGCATTATCTGCAGTCATCTCCACCATTTTTGTGTCGTGTGATTTGCTCAGATCTTTCTTTGTTTCTGTTTCCTGTGACTATTTTCTTTGATGTTTTCCCTTCCTTTTCTTCTGTCTCCCGTTTGTCTCCTAACACAAATACAAACTGATTTTCTTTGATGAAGTCTTTGTTTTGAATTGAAAATAGCCTGACAAAAGCAGGACGGATGTGATTTTAAAAAAAATATAAGGGAAAAGCAAAAGGAAATAATTTTGTTATATGTGATTCTTGACACTATACCCAAGAGGAATCATGATAAGGATGCACAGATACCTCCGAGGAGGTAAGACAGGTTCTTAGAAGCCAGCTGAATGGCTGGAATAAGATCCAAGCCATCAATATATATGACCCACTGATCAGCAGATACACAACTGGAATACAAAAATAATAATAATAATAAAATGGTCACAGGAGGAGACAGATGCCACTGACATCAAGACACGAATACTCCTCACAACGCACTGAGATCTCCACCTGAAGTCCAACACCCTGAGGCTCTATGAACAATGGAAAGAGGGAGAGCGAGCATTAGTGAGTGTCAGAGCCACTATTCAGGATGAAATATGGATGCATCCATAAATACATCACGAAGATAGTCCCCTGAGATGAGCTGCTCCAAGAGTGTCTCAAGCAGCTGAAGACATAACAGGAACAGGAAGAGGAATGGCTTTGTGGAAAACCAAACTGCATGGGGTGTACCAATGACAGACAGAGGAAGTGACTAACATAAAGAAATCCTACCACTCGCTAGAGAAAGCCTGCCTAATGGACAGCACAGAGTATTTGATCATGCGAGTAGAAGAACAAACTAAGGATCAGATCCATGGAGGCTTCAGTAGCCATAGCCAACAGAACCAAGGTTGCAGATTGTGCAAAGGTACCCCGGAGATTATCCAACACATTGTAGCAGGGTGTAAGATGCAAGCTGGGACAGTGTACAGGAATATCTGTGCCTCATATGAACTAAAAGTCCTAAAGCGTCCATGGGAGACACTGACAGAAGTGATTGAGAAGAACAGGCTTAAGATCTTATGGACATGCTGCTCAACCAATCAGACATAGGACCAGAGGCCTATACTTGTGATAGATCTCTGCAGACTAAATCTCCAAAAAGTTGATTCTGTTCATCTGGACGTAGCGTTTTGTGGGAGAAACGTTTCATCACTCATCCAGGTGACTTCTTCAGTCTCAGCTGACTGCAGGTTTCCCCAATCTTGGGGGTGGCTGTCAGTGTGCCCCAGGGCAGCTGTGGCTACAATGTAGCTGCCATCACCAGTGTGTGAATGTGTGTGTGAATGGGTGAATGACTGAATGTAGTGTAAAGCGCTTTGGGGTCCTTAGGGACTGAGTAAAGCGCTATATAAATACAGGCCATTTACCATCTTATAAACAGTACATTTGCATAATGACTGAAACCAGCCCACTGAAGGAACAATGGCCTGGGAGGTCAGTTCCTTAATCTTAATTATGCAAATTCACATGACCATTGATCAACAACCACTGACCAAAACCCTGCAGACTAAAGTGATCCCAGTGGTAACAGCAGCATTAGGAGCTGTGACCACCCCCAAACTGGAAGACTGGCTCCAGCACAACATCAGAAGGCAAGAATTTGATGCACAGTATCCAAAGTCTCATCAGTGTATCAGTTCTTGTCCAGGTATCTGGACAAGAATTTATACACATATGTTTAATTTTGATCTAAACGTTGCCCTACTGTAGAGCTATAATTGAAACAACATGTCTTGGTTGAATTTAGGTGGAATTGAGCATATATTTTACAATTTAAAACACCCCTTAACAGTTAGACTGTGTGTGTGTGTGTGTGTGTGTGTTTTCATTTCTGATGTTGTTGACCGAGTTGAAAGAAAAGGACAAAAGCTGAAGGAGGATGGTCACGTGTCCCCCCCCTCCCCATGCATAAACGCCGCTGCATCATCCGGCTGCCCAGCTTTCTGTAACCAATAAATCATTGCAGGTGCACGGGAGCAGTGACAGTGTGCTAAGGTCACTCTCTCATGAATAGGGAATATCTCTCTGTGCAGCTGCTAAAATGGCACTCAGAAAAGTAAGTGCCACTTTCAGCTTTTGGAACCCTGCTTGCCCTCTCCCAAACGATTCAAACATCATCCCATTCATAACCCCGTGATTTACGCTGAGCTGTGATTAAAATCCAAAGACAAATCTTATATTTAACTCACCGCTGTAAAAACACAGTGAAAAGACCCATCATGGTTAATGTTAGGTATGCAGCAGGATTGAGTAATTGAGACTTGAGAAGAGACCAGTAGGCAATAAACAGTGAAGGATATCACATGAAACTATTACAGTCAGACACCAGTTTTAAAAAGGGGAATTTATTAGAGAAACTAATCTCCCTGTCCTAATTCTACCAAATATCATTTTTGGTTAACACATGCCATCTTTTGTTTTCCCCTGACCAACCTGGCTTACTAATCAATTTTTTTGACTTTTAGCATATCCACTTCACATCTGTGCCCAAACAACTTGAGATCATTTTAGAGAATATGATCCTATTTCCTGAACCTTCATTAGATTGTCTACTTAAGCCTATAATCTGACTCGATCTGGGGGATAATTTAATATGAGAGCAGAGAGGATGCAGCCTGCCGCCACAATATTTCTGTATTACATTGATTAAAGATATGAAGGACAATCACATTAAAATAAAAGCTGAATACAACATACTACTGCCTGTCAACGTTTGACATCTCTTTCCTTTAGCTCCACTCTTACAGATGCAAGCCTATTCACGGCACACTTGTCCGGCACAGGTTTGCTTCCCTTACTAGTTAAAAGAAGCTAGAAAAACCAAACACACAGAGAGACAGCAGATAAAACTATAACTGAAACAAAGGCAAAGTAAGACAAAGAAAAAAAAAAGTATCACACAGAGAAGCAAATAATGGAAAAATATGAAGAGAGCAGAACATTAAGTTTTATTCACGTACTTTTCTGTCGTTTGTTTATCTATTCCCTTTATAACTTCACAGTCATTTTGTAGGCCATTTCACATTTGATTTGTGTAATTTTGTTCCACTGTTCATATATTTGTTTACCCATGAGAGAATAACTGTTGGCAGCTTTCGGCTTATAGCTATTTCCTGTTTTAAACTTTACATAAATTTGTATCTTTGCCTTGTTTCTGTTTTCAGTCTGGTGTGAAAAATATGAAGATTTTTTTTTGGGGGGGGGAATAAAGAACCAGAAAAAGATCAAGAATAAGTTTTCAAAAATGAATATGACAAATTATGATGAAGAGAATTTGAGATACTTCAAAGTGTTTTATAAAACTGAAAGAACGCAACAAAAGATGGAGAATGAGAAAGGCAAACAAAAGAGCATAGAGGAACAGTGTAGGAGGACTGGTCACACCAATCGTGATGGATGATGAGGCAGGCTCCGGACGAAAGAGATGAAGTGACAAAGACACAGACGGAAAGAAAGATGAAGGAGAAGCGATAAATAGCAAATGAACTGAAAGAAAAAACCCCACAGGGAATTATAAATGATTTTTTGAAGGAAAAAATACATTACAGTGAATACCACTGATCACTGATCGCATCCTGCCAGAAAAGAAAAGGGGAAAAAACATTAAAGAACAAGTGAAGGGCAAATGAGAGATTTAAGAGGAAAGAATAACTATTAGTGTGTGACTCAGAGGATGAGTAGAGGACACAAAACAGCAGTCTAATTGCCTGACTAATTGGGGTCTTTGTTTCCAGTTTCCCTTCATTGGGCTGAATGGATAGCGAGACAAAGAAACTTGACTTGGCTGGATAACAGAAGAACAGACTGTTGAAGATAAATACAGAGAATATCTTGAGTGCCTGCCGGGTATCTGCTACCTTTAAAGTATAAAATATTTATTTGCCATGAAATGTATAGAAAATCCTCTCACAGAATCGTACAGAAAAGTGTTGGACCAAAGAAATACTCTCACACCAGCAGACTGACAAACACACACACTCAGAATTACTGATCTGGTTTGCAGTGAGCAGAAGTGAAGTGAAATAAAGGCAGTATACTGTCCTCCCCTGGTTAATACCCGTCCTTCTTCTCCTATTGTGAAATCATGACACACTCTCCAATCTGCCAATGGCCACGGCAATTTCCTGATTCTACTTTTTCAATATCTCTTCTCTTTTTCAAACTCAATTTCTCATTACGCTATCTGACTGTCACCCTGTCCCCATCTCTCTCCCTTGCCCGATTCCTCCCTCTCTAATACCCACAGGTGGCCTTTAAAAAAAAGACCCTTCTCGGTGAGTACACTTCTTTAAACTACATTAATGATACCAGTGTTTAGAGCTGCCCCAAGGAGGCCCACAAACTTCACTTTTCTCTCCTTGCGCTTTCTCCCCTCTTCATTCCATTTCTCATACATTCCTCTAATCCATCAGAGAGCTATCACGCT